TCTCATTACGCTTATCGATCCACACCTGATGAATGCCGGAGTGACGACGGCCGAAACGCTGTGACAATAACAGAGATGTGTGCAATATTCAGAATGTAAATAGGATAAACATAGATAGAGAGAGAGAGAGAGAGATAGATAGATATTAACAGACTTAGATAGATAGATAGATAGATAGATAGATAGATAGATAGGCAGACAGATATTAACAAACTGAGATAGATAGATATTAACAGACTGAGATAGATAGATAGATAGATAGATAGATAGATAGATAGATAGATAGATAGATATTAACAGACTGAGATAGATAGATATTAATAGACTGGGATAGATAGATAGATAGATATTAACAGACTGAGAAATATAGATATTAACAGACTGAGATAGATAGATATTAATAGACTGGGATAGATAGATACATAGATATTAACAGACTGAGATAGATATATACATAGATATTAACCGACTGAAATAGGTAGATAGATAGATAGATGAGAAATTTTACTGAACAGAGGTTTTTAAGAGAAAATGATAATTTCTCTTATTGATACTAACGCTAACCTTATGTAGAATATAATAAATACTTATGAAAAACAATGCAAAAGAGGAAATAAATAAATATTTGTTTAGCAGACATATCTTCAAATAACCTGCAAATATTTCTGACGCATATCAGTAAGCTGTTCAATATTTAATGATTTGTCCATTATTTGAAATGACGGCTGTCAGACATTTAAAATAATTTGGGTTAAGCGTTTTTAAACCATTAAAAATATTTTTTTTTATCCAACGTTGGTTGAAAGATCGTCTCAACATAGTTTCGAATTTTAAGCTCTTTAACATTCTGTTGAATTTTCTGGAGTGGACATTTTGACCAGGAAACTCTCAAAACCATTTTCTTCCGTTAAACTTACGTGTGCTTGAGTCAGTTATCCAAGCTGAATTTCAAACTTCTGGGTTGTTTCTGAAATTTCCGCCATAGAATCATGTTCTCCAGAATTCCGTGATATCTAACACACGAGGCAATATTCATTCGATTATTTGAACTGCACTCGGCTCACATTAGGAAAACCACATTGAATTATTATAATTACAACTTGTGTTGATGGCTGTATAATTCGAACAACTCCGAGAACAAAATATATGAGAAAATATAGTTTGAAGGCATGTTTGGAAATTATCTGTTACCGCCTATCCGTTAAGATAATACAAGATAATTCACTACCCATAATCCATCATTAACCAGCATATATAAATAGTCGATCCAAAACACAACACACAGCTTATAGACTTTTTATTAGGTGGCTTTGAACCCGTTATTTTGCTTCACACTTAAAAGATATTTCCGAAAAGGCATACTCCAACGTGTCTTGCAATTCTAATTGTGTACTAATGGCATGCAAATTGCAAATTTTAAATGCTTTAGGTAAAAATGAAAATTGAAATTTTATTCATAGAAGGCTACTCGCCAAGATGTTGAAGATTACTAGATATGGGCAGCAATATTACAGTTCAAATGGTGCACAGCCATTAAAAGACCCCTGATATGTAAACTGTGATGGGAAGAGAACATAAGAACTGGGCATTACAAGTGTCGCCAAAGGTATTATAGACAGAGAGACGAGTCCAAATTTGAACTTTTTAATAGTAAGAGGAGAATGTATGTGAGAAGAAAATCAAGAGAAAGACTGAATTATGAATATGTGGTTCCAACAGGTAAGTATGTTGCTGGGTCCGCTATGGTGTTGGGGTGTTTTGGGGAAGAGTGGCCTTTTGGGGAAGAGTTGACCTTTTCAGCTTAAGAGAATCATGAAAAAAGAGAAATATCATTTGATTTTGCAATGACAAGCTATATTATCTGGTTTATGCATAAAAGAAACAAAATTACGGAAATTATGATTTGGCCGTATCAATCTCCAGACATGTCAACAATTGAATTATTATGAGATCAATTGATATGACTGTTTGAAGACAATAACCAAAAAGCGAGTGTGTTTATTTTATGTCAAATGTTAATACAGGTTCTAAATATTTAGTCAACCCTACATAATATTGTAAAAATACATGTAATTGTCCCTCTTTAAAGAAAAAATAAGTGTAACATGACGACAGTATTTTCATATAATTTTTTTTTATTTTTAATTAATTTGCGCAAAATAGCAAAACCATTGCTATAAGAGTACAAATTGAAATTTTACGCCAAGAAGGCTACTCTCAAAGACAAATTGCCAAGTATTTAAAGATTTCTAGAAATGGGATGCAATATCCAATACAAAGCTCGTTAGAAACAGGAACAAATGTTAATAGAAAAAAAGCTGGAGCACCAAAAGGAGCAAGAGATGACGAGGATAAGCACTTAATTATTGAGAGCAAAAAAGATTAGAAGAAAAAATGCCCCTGAGTTGACAGCTGAACTTAATCCCTCTCGACAGCAACCTGTGTCGCTCCCAACAGTGAGAATTTGACGTAGATCCGCGAGTTTCAGGGGATGCATGCCCATCATAAAAATCCTGTTACGTGAGGTGAATAATAAAAAAAGACTCTTATGTGCCAAAAGCCATAAGAACTGGACATTGCAAGAGACGCCAGATGAGCTGTAGATAAAAAGACGTGTCCAAATTTGACCTTTTTGTAATAGGCGGAGAGTTTATGTAAGAAGAAAGTCAAGCGAAATACGGAAGGATGAATGTCTGGCTCAAACTGTTAAACATTGGAGTCTGTTCATAGTGTTGGGGGTTGGGGAAAAGAAGGCTGGAGATTTTATTCAGGTCAAGGGAATCCTGGAAAAAGAACAATATCATTCGATGTTTCAAAATCATGCAATACCATCTGCTTTACGCATAATTTAAAAAAAAAATTCGCATTTCCACAAAGCAATATGCTCTTCTAAATAATGTCAAAGTTACCTCAAGTAAAAAAAAAAACAAAATTTTGAAAATCATGACTTGGCAACCTCAATGTCCTGACCACTTTCACATTGTATTAGTAGATGAATTGAATAGCAGAATTCGAAGAGCTTACCCTAAGAGTGAGAGTAAGCTTGTTAAGTAAAAATAGCCAAATGCCATTTTGAATATCACGAAGCTTGAAACAAACTGTTTAAAGAGAAATAATAAAAATACAATTTTACGTATATTAAAACACATCTTTTAAAAGTTTAAAAATCAGGTTTCTTTTAATACCCAAGAAAACGAGTATAAATATACGTTCTTAAACAATCAATGTATAATTGAAAATATTGTATACCGACTTGGCATACATTCCGATAGCGACATTTACTTTTATATTGGGTACACTGAAAATTCTTGGAAATTTCGTTTTTATCATCATTGAATGACTTTAGGTAAAGTAATATACATGAATAGCTCAGCTCTCCCAAACATTTCTATTAATTAAAGAATGGTTGTAATCTCTCTCTCTCTCTCTCTCTCTCTCTCTCTCTCTCTCTCTCTATATATATATATATATATATATATATATATATATATATATATATATATATATATATATAAGTTTTAACCTATGTCTGTCTCTTTGTATGCGATTGAACTTCTAGGATATTCGAGAGAGATCCCCATAATATTCGAAAACCACATTACTCAGGGTACTTGGATAAGTGTATTTCATTTTGAACAAAGGCGATTCCATTGGGGAGGGGGAAAACTCTCCACTGAAATTTTTCCCTTTGATATAAATTAAATTTAAATTTTAACAAGTGAATGACTCCTGCCGAAAATATAGAAGAAAGTCAGAAGATGGAGGTCACACCGGCAAGTTCAAAAAATGAGACATTATGGATGTCAAGTTGAGCTAGAAATTGCTAGTCAGTGGGTCGTGCCATACAATATATATTTGTTGCGAATTTTCAACTGTCAGATGAAGATCACATCGGCAAGATCATTGAGTAATATTGAAATGCATGATTTATCTCCATAAATTATAACAATGATTTAAAATCAATCATCATTTTCTTACAAAGCCCATTATTGGGCACTGGAATCTGTCACGTCGATTTCATCTTTTTTAGGCAACACTCATTTATTTCATCTTTTTTTAGGCAACACTCAGCTATTTCAACATTGTTTCGCAATACTCAATTATTTCATCTTTTTTAGGCAACATTATTTTAATTAATATTTTTTAGGCAACACTTAGCTATTTCTTCTTTTTTAGGCAACATTAGTTTATTTAATCTTTTTAGGCAACACTCAGCTATTTAATCTTTTTCAGGCAACATTAATTTAATTAATCTTTTTTAGACAACACTCAGCTATTTCATCTTTTTTAGGCAACATTAATTTAATTAATCTTTTTTTAGGCAACACTCAGTTATTTCATATTTTTAGGCAGCATTAATTCAATTAATTTTTTTAGGCAACACTCAGCTATTTCAACATTGTTTCGCAATACTAAATTATTTCATCTTTTTTAGTCAACATTAATTTAATTAATCTTTTTTAGGCAACACTCAGCTATTTCATCTTTTTTAGGCAACATTAATTTAATTAATCTTTTTTAGCCAGAACTCAGCTATTTCTTCTTTTTTAGGCAACATTAATTTCATTAATCTTTTTTAGGCAACACTCAGCTATTTCTTCTTTTTTAGGCAACATTAATTTAATTAATCTTTTAAGGCAACACTCAGCTATTTCATCTTTTTTTTAAGCAACATTCATTATTTCAAATATTTTAGGCAACATTCATTTATTTCCTCTTTATTAGGCAACACTCAGCTATTTCATCTTTTTTAGGCAAGATTATATAGCGCCAAGTTGCTCATAGAAAATTCTCACAGTAACAAAATGCTTAAATTAAAATGCTTATTTCTTATAGGTCAGATGCTGTGCTGATTAAACCAAGAAAATAGCACGAATATTTTGGTCGGCCAAAGAAAACACCCTATCGTTTAACTAGGTGGAGAAAAGTGGGCCGCTATGACGTCTATTCTAACCATATCGATTAAATTGATTATATGCTTTCATGCATTTGATTATTCATCGATATCTAGCCACCGTGATCAAGTTCAATAAATAGGAAAACCGAATCGACTTCAGTTCTGCGCTTTTTAACTAATTCTTTTTTTTAAGTGGCTAGTCAAACGATTCATATTTTTCTGCCTCTTTCGCTGGACGATATTTACGGACGACATTATGCATTATCTTTTCAAAATGATTTTTCTCTTCTCTCTTTTCATTTTTTTCACTCATCATATTATTACTTAATCTCTCTATCTCTCTCATTATCTATCTATCTATCTCTCTCATTATCTATCTATCTATCTATCTATCTATCTATCTATCTATCTATCTATCCATCCTATTCTATTCAGAAAAATTAACCTATCTCAGTCTTCTTTATGAATTTCGGTATACTATCTCTATCCTATTAATATGGATACTTTGTCTTCAGGAATGTACTTAGTTTAACCCGAAGTAGAAGTAACCTCGGTTGCCTTACTCGACGTACTTTTCTATGCATTATTTGCAACTTTTTTTCATTTTGTATCTTCCTTTTAGTATATCCTTGTGTATTTTGTTGCAAGTCTTACATTCCTTATATTTACTTTTATCTTTCTCATCTATTAATAGATTCTTCTACTCACTCAATCTCCTTATCTCATTTCTTAATACTTATATACGCTTTATTATATTCTTTTCATTTTTCCTATTTCTTCTTCATAAGCGTTCTTTTCTTTCCGCTTTTTCTTTCTCTTTACTATTTTTTCCAAGGGTTCGTTACTTTCTTTTTTAATGTTTTGTTTCATTCTTTCTTTCTATTTTTATTTATTTCCATGTGTTTTATTTTCTTTCTTGTGTTCGTCTTTTATTTCTCTCTTTTGTTCTTTCTATTTTTATTGGTACTTTTGTACTATTTTCTTTCAGTATGCGCTCTTTCCCATCTTTCTTTGATTTTTTTTGCATTTCTTCTTTTTTAATCCGTCCTTTCTTTCATTTTTTTTCAATTTTCTATTTTCTTTCTATTGTTTCATTCTATGAATTCGTTTCTTTTATTTCATTTTGTGTTTTCTTTCTTTCGTTCAAACTTTTATTTCCTACCATGCCTTGTTTTCATTTTTCTTCCTCATTTCGCTCTTTCTTCCTATTTTCTTTCTTTCTTTCTTTCTTTCTTTCTTTCTTTCTTTCTTTCTTTCAATGCGTACATGCCTGCCATTCTTTCTTTCCATTTTATCGTTTCATTTCTTGGTTAAATCTTTATTTCTTTCTTTATATCTTTCATTTCATTCTACGAGATCTTTTCTTTCTTTCTTTCTCTTTTTCACATTTCTTCTTTCATTCTTTCTTTCATTTTTCGATTTCTTTTTAGTTCTTTCTATTTGTTCTATTCAATTCTTGCTTTCCTTTTTTCTTCCTTGTTTTCAATGATCTTTTTCCTTTCTTTCTATGATCCCATTCTTTCTTTCTTTCTTTCTTTGCGCCCTTTTTTGCTTTGTGTTCTTTCTTGTTTTCTTTCTATGACCCCATTCTTTCTTTCTTTCTTTCTTTCTTTCTTTCTTTCTTTCTTTCTTTCTTTCTTTGCGTCCTTTTTTGCTTTGTGTTCCTTCTTTTTTTTCTTTCTATGTTTTCTTTCCTTTCATTCTTTCTTACTTTCAATTTATTTTCCTTCTTTTAAATTCATTTCCTTCTGCATTGCAGCATTCATGTTTCTTTCTTGTTTCCTTTCTTTAAATTTTCTTTTCCATTCTCTGCCTTATTTTCCTCATTTGTTTAGCTCTTTATTTCTTTCTTTTGATTGACTATTTCGTTAATTATTCATTCTTCTTTCTTTTCCCTCACAGTTTTAATTTTTCTTTCTATTTGTTCTTTCTTTCTTTCTATGCTCTGTTTTATCTTTTTATTTCTATTCTACTTTTAATTCTTATCTATGATTACTTTCTTTCTTTCTTTACTGATTTCTTTCCTTCTTTCTTTTTTCTTTCTATTTGTTATTTCTTCGTATGGCTTATTTTCATTCTTTCTTGGCGCTTTTTCATTCTTCATTCCAGTGCTTTTTTTCTTTCTTTCTATGCGTTCTTTTATTTCTTCCTTTCCTTCTCTCTTTCTTTTTTCTATTTTCTTATGCCTATTCTATTTTTCTATGCGTTTTCCTTCCTTCTTTCTTTCTTTTTTCTTCAATTCATTTTTCTTTCTTTCCTTTTTTCTTTGTTTCATTCTTTCTTTTTTACTATTTTCCTTTCTTTATATGTACTCTTTCTTTAAATACATTATTTTATCTTTCTTTCTATACCTTTCTTTCTTTTTTTCTTTCTTTTTTTCTTTCTTTCTTTCTTTCTTTCTTTCTTTCAATTTACTTATCACTTCCTTTACATGTTTCTTTTCTGCTTTTGGTCTCCTTTTGCATTCGACCGACACAATATTTCCTGATTTAGTTCAGCGCAAGAAATTTCCCTTTTATTTTTCTTCTCATCAAATATTCTTCTTTCATTCGAGCGTGCTTCAACTCATTTTATCGACCGGCGAGACTCCCACTTCAATTTAGCCTCTCCCATTAGTTTCTGAACTGGCGACTGATTCTTATCCCGTCTACTCTTTTCTCCCTTTCATCTTTTCTCACTCGTCTTTTTAAAGCCTTGCCATTTCTATCTCGGTGCCTTTGTCAACTTCTATACATAGACGAAGTGAGCGTAAAACCCTGGAAGAATCCACGGCTAAAAGAAAGCAGCCCTACAAAATTTAATTTCCAAAAGAGATTGAACGTTGCTCCAGTTTGTTCTTTCACGCTTTCACTTGAAATAAGAGAATTGTCAAAGTTCGAGAAAGCTGCAGAATGACCATACACAAGTAACGCTTTCATTCATTTCCGTTTGAATCAAATGTATAATGCTAATATTAAGTAACATTTACCAATGTAATTATCATCATTTTGCCCTTCTGCAATAAAACAATGTTCAGCTGTAACTGGTTTAAGCTATAATCTCCAGTTTGGATAGATACGGACAAATATAAATGAATTTAAATGACATTGACTGCTTTAATAGCACAATAAAAAGTCCGAAAATGCATAAAATATTTACTGTCGTAAGATCTACTTATGTTTAGTACATTTAAATCTGCACACAAGGGTGTCAGAGTATTGAAGGTACATATATAAGAAATGTGAATGGTAAGTGCTAACAGCTTGGAAGGAGAAAATCGGAGAGCTGTGTTCGAATTACAGTCGAGTTTGTGCTATTCCATTTACTTTGTTCCCACAGCTATGCGTTAAATAGCATGGGAGACTCGACGATCTAGAAGAAGGAAACCTAAGAATTCCAAACTTGATGTCGCCCTGGCATAGAGTACGATATAGCCACCGACAAACTCATGTAATTCTCAATGACTATAATTTTCCTCTAGACGTCAGTATACCTAAGAATGTCTCGATGTATTATTATCGTAGACAATCATGTCTGTTACAGTAATAATGGTTTGTAGACAAGCGTAAGCAAAACAATAGCTCTACGAATCTTAATATAATTCACTAAACATAAATTTGTCAACACTATTTTACACTTTCTTCTAATGAATCTATTTGACGCGATTCAGATATACATGTGTGAGTGGAACATTTTAAAAAAAAGCAGTTACTACTTATTGTATTGTTACGAGCTTCGGAACTACTGAAAATTGTCAGTTGATTTCATCATATTTGAATATGTTTGAATAACTTATTAATCTGAAAACTGTCTGCGTAACTAACGGCTTATGTAGATTAGACTAAATAAAACGAGTATGCCAAAAAGGAGGAATGAATGTAAAGAGTTGTATTTTCTCCCCGGATTTACAAGGAGATGATTCGGAAAGAATTAGATGGCCTGATATCTGCCGATATTAACATTGGCGGGCATAAACTTAATTATATACGTTAGAAAGATCACATTGTTATGATAACATATTCATAAGGAAAACTTAAAGAGTTATTAAACACAGAAGTATTTTTAGTAGATATTCATATTTGAGTAAAAACCTCCGTTTATTTATTAAACAGTACATTTATTTATTTTCGTCTACCGGCACGAATATTCAAGAAATCTGATTAAAGCCGGTAGACAAAAATAAATATATATACTGTTTAATAAATAAACGGAGCGTCTAGTTAAATACGTGTATCCACTAAAAATAAAGTTTAAGTAATAAAATCTTTCGGATTAATAAATAAACAAAAACTATTACTTCTTTTTGCGTTGTTTTTATGTTAAAATCCTGAGCAGGTATGGACATTTCGATGGTCTGAGAGAAAATTGAGATTATAAGGCGTTATTCGACTTGATCGGTGACGCACTCCGTGGCTGTGTGGGACGAGGGCATGTTGAATCTAACATCAGTTTCTTATAAAAAGGCGGACACAGGTTCGAATCTTGTCGGAGAGTGCATATTTTTCTTTAATAAGATTTCTCGGATATCAAGGTCAGTAGAAAAAAAAATATATATATTGTTCTATAAATAAACGGTGCGTCTACTCAAATATGGCTACCACTAAAAAAAATCAGATAAATTATATTACTTAAACGTTATTTTAGTGGATTCAGGTATTGTTACGAATAGTCAAGAGCGATCTCCCCTTGTTTCTTTCGTCTCCTCATTGAGAGAGCTATTTCTCTTTATAAAAAAAGGACACTATACGCGAACCTTATATTCTCAGTTGAATAAAGCTTTCTTAAAGCCTACACCTACCTACTTTGTCATTGCACTCATATTTGAGTAGATGCTCTGTTTATTTATTACACAGTAAATGTATTTATTTTCGTCTACTAGCACGAATATTCGAGATATTTTATCGCAGATCTACTCCAATTAAGGTATCCACAAAAATAACGTTTAAGCAATGAAATATGTTGGATTAATAAATTAAAAAGTCTATTACTTCTTTAGAAATTGCTTTTGTTACGTAGTATATAATACTGAGCAGATCAGATATGAATGTTTTGAGAGTCTAAGAAAGATTTGCGTTTATAACCCAATATTTGACTTGGCCTAATCGGTGATGCACATGGTGTCTGAATTGGTCTAAGCACATCGAACCTTATTATAGTTTCTCCTGTCAATGCGGAGACAGGTTTGAATCCTGCCGGAGAGTGCAAATTTTTTAAAATAAGATTTCTCGACTATTGAGGCCGCCAGACGAAAGAATACTTTTTAATAAATAAACGTTTTTTTTATCCCGTGACCCCTAGGTTCGTAGGGGCACCATGTGTACTGCAGCCACAGTAGGAGTGGTGCTTCTTAGGCAAGATTAACTGACGGAGTCCAATCCTCTCCAGGACGGTTTTGAATTCAGGGTTTTTCCTTCTTCCAGACCGGTTGCCACCCAAGGTTATAGAACCCAGTCTGTCCTGCTATTTACCCATAGAATTTAGAAAAAGAGAATTCATGCCGTTCTCAAGGGTATTAGCATATAAGTGAATGTAATGGATCCAACTTGATTTCGAATCCGGCTTTACTAATCCGGGGAATATATATCCAATATATGTGAATGTATTTTCTATTGATTGATTTATAAATACTCTATTGATTGATTGATAAATAGTCTATTGATAAATATTCAAAACATTTTCTTCTGTATCTAAATTCTTCTGTTCCCTCTAATTCTTTATAAGTATATTTGTAATTTCTGTTTCTCAGTCTGTCTATTTATGTAAAATAATGGATGTTTTCTTTAACTGTCAGCAGAGTAATAGTGTTCCATTTCTTGATTTTATATTTAATTAATCTTTCACGTTCAACATTTCCATTTTAACCAACCTTAACACACATTCCTTAAAAAAAAAGATCAGTTGATTAGAATACAGTTAGCATTCGATCCCATAATTGGTTCCTAAACCATTTCTTGCTGCTAGAATCCGTCAGTATATTCTAAGTGGAGACGACTGAACTAAATTTAATAATACATAACGGACAAATATTTAGCCACTGATATGAAACAGAATATTTCTGTCTTGTTTTTGCCATACCTAATACTAAAAGCTTATAGATATAAATCTATAGTGATTGCTGTATTTTTAAACATATAAGTCATAAAAGATTTTTCTAAACCTTTCTTAAATTCTTTTGGATTTATTTTTTATATTTAATACAGGATTTTACGGTGTGTGTTAATGGTTAACATTGAAGAGGAAAAACAAAAGATATAAATATGTATTGTTGTGTTGGTAGAAAGATTGCGTTTTGACACGTTAAACAAGTGAAGAGAATTTAACATGTTTGATAAATTTTATTTAACACCAGGGCTATTACCTTGTCTGGAAAACTTGGACAAGTTGGAAAATCAAATATGAGTCAGTTCCATCGGCCTTGATATTTACTCCCTGCAGTTGATTACAGTAAAACGGTTGATGGAGTGAAATGCTGTTAGAAAGATTTTTAAGGGGACGTATTTGCCTTGAAAAACAGTATTTCAAATTTCCGTTTTAAAATTGGATACAACACCGAAGGTTTTCATCTTTAGACTTACCTCGTTTCTCTGAAGTATGAGTGAGACAAAATATCTATTTATCAAGTTCATGGTGAGAATAAGGGGAAATTTGTATCATCTGTTGTCCAACCGGAGCATGCCAAGTGCCTTGAAAATCAGTATTTGAAATAATATGTTTTTACCTAGATTCGAACAGGGAATAATTCAACCACCAGACAGATATTGTGTTATTGTCTTTGTATTCTAGTAGGCCATCGACAGATCCTCACTGGAGAATCAACAGACTTAATCAACGACAATTTGATTCGGCTTTATTTTTACTTTTACGGGTGAACATATTCAGTATTATTTCTTGGGAAACGAAAGAAAGAGAGTGTGAGAGAGAGATAGAAAGAGTGAGAGAGAGAGTGGGAGAGAATGAGTGAGAGAGAGAGTGAGAGAGAGTGTGAGAGAGATAGTAGATATAAAGAAACCCTGTGTCAACAGAACGAACTTTACTGGAACATTTGTATCACAACCACTTCCCCATTCTTAATATTTCAAATTTATTAAAGTTCAGCGTCAAAAAGATGATGATATTGACAGGATCTTTGAGTTAGCCTAATCTTCCAAAGTTGGCAGGCCTACATCACTTGAAAATGAACATTAAAAGTTCCGGATCATACTTTGGTCAGAATAGAGTTAGGCACTCTTCTCACGAATGGAAACAAGACACAAGGCAGCAGAAATGTAGCTCAACAGAAGGATGCTTGGAATGCCATGGACTGAAACTGTGAGCAACGAAGAAATTGTAGAGAAAATGGAAGAAAAGTCCACTTATATTTTGAATCAGAATTGAATTTTCTATGGAACCTAATGAAGAAATAGGTTTGGACAATGTAATCTCACATGATAGTTTGAAGAGGAAAAGATGAAAGCATAGAAAATCTGATGAATGACCTTCTGTAAATAGTTCACAGAACAGTGATTATGAGAGATAACAAAAAAAAAACTGAGAGGAAATTGTGGAGAGCCATAATCACGCAAGTACTGAAAGTACACAACGCAAAGAAGAATACGAACAGTAAATCTAGAAGTATTTCAATATT